TACACTAGCGACCCGTCCCAGCTTCGCCTGGCTTGGATATATTCATATGGCGTCATTGGGCGTCATTTAGGGTTTTATACCGACCGGTAAGGCAATTATCTGGGGGAACGGCTGTGCCCCCGCCAAGTTTAGCAAAAAAGCGGCACGGCCATACCATCATTTACTCAAAACAGTTCAGGCCATTTTCGACCCCCTATGACTTCGTTACTATATAACTTTGTAATCCTATATAAATATATAGGATTACAAAGTGCCATTTGCAGTGAAAGAATCAGTGTATATGTATAATATAATGGAATAATAGATTTAGATAGGTACCTAGATATAATTATGTTCAAAGGTAACTTGTAAAATGGTCAACGGAATGAAAAAGCAGGAATGGAACATGTCTTATGAAGTTGTACCAAAATCCCGCACAGTATTAAGTAGACTAAATTGCCCGAAAATCAGTAGTTGGTATTCAAGAAGTAGATGGTACCAGAAAAGAAAAAAAGTAGGACTATCTACAAAAATAAATGAGATGCCATCGAAAACATATCTTGTAAAAAACTAAGTCTCGCAACTCAGTTCTTGTACCGTAAAAAGTTGTGAGATCCATGTAATACCAAGTCGGTTAATTTATTCAGTCCCTACTTAAGAGTCCTTCTGTCTCAAGTAATTACGTGATTAGCTAACCTAACAACATCTTATCATGACCATATTAATATTAAAAATGGTTTATGTTTTAAATAAATAGATTGACGTGGCTATTTATTATTTATTTTCTTAATTTACCTAAGACATATTCAAATGTTTTTACTTTATCATTAAATATCGAAGTGTTTTTTTTCTTTATAGGATACTGGTGACAAACGAGCACACAGTCCACCTTATGGTACCACCTTTATGGTACCACCTTGGTGGTTGCTGTGGCCCGTAGACATCTAGATCTATTGTCAGCCGTGAGGACTAAGCCAGAATGACGCTTTTTCAAAGTAAAAAGGGTATCCGATTATCTAAATTCACCATACGAAACACAGCAGCATTACGCTGCTATTTTACGCTGGTATATCGAGCCGACCCATTCGTGCTACAACTATACTATTAATATAGCTGCAGTATGGCTTTACCATTTTATAGTATTTAAACTTTTGTTTTTTAAAAATCTTCAAATTTTTCGCATGAAATATAACATAGATCACTCCTAATATTGCTCTCTGTCTGTTTGTGAAGTTTTATTTTAATCAGTTCAGCAATTTGAATATCAGCCCGGACAGACAGATGGACAACATTTTTAAATTGGTTATATTTTTTATAGGATAGGGTGACAAACGAGCACATAATATATCACCTGATGGTAAGTGGTTGCTGCGGCCCATAGTCATCTACATTTATCTTCGTTTGCGAATCAAAATGCAGATGAGTTATCACCCGTGAGGACTAAGGTGGAATGTCTCTTTTCAAGTAAAAAGGGTCTCCGGTTCTCTACACTCACCATACGAAACACAGCAGCGTTAAGCTGCTATTTTACGCTGGTATTCTGTGAGAGCGTGGTCCTTCCCCGGTCGAGCCGACCCATTCGTGCTACAACTATACTACTAATATAGCTGCAGTATGATTCTACTACTACACACGTAGTGTTAAATTGTCAATTCAATTTATTAACAAAAACTAAAACTACAACCATTTGTATCATATTGCAATATGACATTGTTTATTTGTAATTTTATATCATGAATTAACTAAAATCAAATATATATATGTCATATTAGTATGCAAATAACCCACACACTTCAATTTTATTTATATGAATAGATTTAATTAACTTGTTCAGTCCAGGTAAGATTAAGTTTTAAAAAAACATTAATAATGCACAAAAAGTAAAAACGAATAAATCAACTTAAGGAGATTTAATAAAAGATAAAAAGGTCTAATCTAATAACACTTAACTCAATGAGTAATTTTCAAGGTGAAAAAGGTTACAGTTAAATTTGCATAGTAGCACTTATTAACTGTGTTCAAAAATGAGGTGTTGTTATATTCGACGCGTATGTTTTTATGTACGGCTCCGTGGCGCGGTGGCTTTGCACTTAGTAACGGCGTTGAGGGCCGCGGGTTCGAATACCGCACGGACCAAGTACTTGCATGGCCTACAAGTAATGGATGGATGAGTGTTCTTGTGCAATTTATATAAAATATACGAGTACATCCACGATACAGAAGAAATTCCTTTCATTAGAATACCTTCTATATTTCTATAGAGAAGTTCCATTAGAATACTTTCTATATTTATTATTGTACATGCTTCCATCGCCTTCCATATATGTATAGCACGCACGCATCCATGAACTAGGAGTTCACGCCCGAATGAGTATGAAGGCTGACTATCTCAGAATATTCTGGAACATACGCATCGTATGTACAATCGTATGTAACACTTTAATACAAATTAAAGTGTTACATTCAGCACGAGAAATTCAGATATACTTTAGACTTATTTTCACAGCGTCTGTGAAGCTCTCTAAAAAATTTTATTTAAAAAGAGAAAACAAAAAGGATTTGTATGCTCTCCGATTTGTCGGAAACGGCTAAACTGACATAAATGATTCTTTGTTATTAAATAGGCTCCTCGAGGGTGGTGCCATTTAAATATAAAGAAAACATACCCCTAAGAATGGAAATGTTGTAGATGATTTTAATTGTAACTAGTATTTAGGCGACATATATTACTCGTACAATTCTTGACGAGGTAGAGCCACGCTAAAGCTACTATATTATGTACTAGTGATCCGCTCTGATTGTGATCGCTTTGCTTGTCCCATAGGGTCTATTGATGTGGCCTTACTAATGTTTAAGATAATCAAAGACCATTTATTTTATCAACTTTTTAACAAAATCTATTTTTAATCAAGTTTTAGGATAAGAAAGATAGGAAAATATAGCAGATTTCTACTGGCATTGCTTTATAGATGTACGTAAAGTTTTATTAGAATGCTTCAGCTATTCGGAAGATTATCCCGGAGAGACAGATAGACAGACAGACCAATATTTAAAAAATCGTTGTTTATGTCTTAAAAACATGAGTATAACCACCTGAATTTAACTATTTCAATATTCCAGACGGACACTTCAATTTTATTTAAATTAAACAATACAATATATATATATATATATATATATATATATATATACATATATATATATATATATATATATATATATATATTTGCATACTAATATGACATAATTAACCATTTTTAAAATGTTTGTCCATCTGTCTGTCCGGGCTGATATTCAAATTGCTGAACTGATTAAAATAAAACTTCACAAACAGACAGAGAGCAATATTAGGAGTGATCTATGTTATATTTCATGCGAAAAATTAGAAGATTTAAAAAAAAAAACGAAAAATTATAAACCAAAACTTAAATAGTATAAAAGAGCCACATTCGATTATATTGAGAACGAGGCATTCCATCATAGTGGTCTGGGCTGACAATGCATCTGCATTTTGATTCTAGGTGGTAGAGGTTGATAGGCACGAAAGGAGCCCTAACACGCAGTATAGAAAAGAACTGTTTCATTATGAACGACAAAGGAGTATACCCAATGGGAAAGAGCCAATAACCGACTTTAGCCCGACCCATTATTCAAACCCGAGACAGGTCAGCAGTGGTGCTTGCAACCATTACACCAACGAGGAATTTAAAGAAATATTCAAATTAAATTGGTGTAATTAATACTTCTGCACGGTCGCTTGGCGCGAACCTTAGTTTTTTTTTGGTGATTAATTACTAACCAACTTTAAGTCTTTTTTTCGTAGAATGTTATAAAAGTTCTCGCTGTCTGAACGATTCGCAGACAACAGGATTTACTGCCAGTGCGTTTCAAATACTCGCATTAAACCAGCCATAACAATCAAAGCTATAAAATTTCCACTGTCATGGAGATCCGCGGACAGTACAACAATAACATGTGTACATATAAAAACGAACAATAAAAATTAAATCAGCAAGTCCGTCTCAGCCTCAAGAGCATTCTCCATTTCAACATTTTATACAGTACAATACGCTTAACAAAATATTTGTCGTGTCTATGACTAAGAAATTACTAAAAAGCAAATACCCGCTATTCACACGTCGAGGAAGGTTACGGAATAGTGAATTAAGTACGTAATAATGTTTTTTATTTAACATTTTACAATATTTTATATGTTCCAACTTCCGCTGTGCAAATTATATTTAATATTTTCTAATGTTTCTAAGTAAGAAATGTTATGATGAGATTTTTTGTAGCCTTTTTCAATATAAATCGTAAAGCTAATATATAATTTAATGTATGTACACAAAAACAAAAATAGTTTTATTAAAAATAGAAATGTATATCTAGCTTGTAGTTGTTTCTTATCTAATTACTAGGAACAAGTACAAGACTCCATACAGTCAGTAATTCCACCACGGGGCCTGTGAAAAACCTTTAATTTTTTATCAAGCGAAAATTGGTAATACTACTAAAGAGTACAGGACTAATGAAAGCCCCTGAGAATGAAGTGATTGCTACCATGCGGTTTCTAAACCAGCGCGTTGCTGCCGCAGAGGAAATAATTGTGGAAATGTCGTTTTAAACTTGGAAGAGTTATATTGTTTAGTTAGGAACGATAAATGCATTTATTGAAGTTGAATTATATATAATATACTGTAAGTTAATTGCACACTGTCTATAACCTTCGCGTAAGTGCAAGCAATAAGTTGACAAAGTATTACCGCAATCTAATGAACGGTATGACATTAAGTACAAACAAACAAAAATTATTTTTTAAATATTACATTTTATTCTAAATTAATGTTTTGAAAAAAAATACCACTTAGTTTCTTGCTGGTTCTTCCCAGGGCAGAGGTTTTTTTTTCCGAAACAGTGTGATAAAGCTAAAATGACTTTCAATAAGTGTTCTGGTAATTTAAATTAAATAAAAATTATTCTATTTCTATTCTATTTTATTGACTTAACTTTGTTTGTTTAGCATGGCGCCTACAACAAAGCAAGAGTTCCTCAATGCAGAGGACGATTTCGACAGGTCAGTTTCGCGAGCTGCCCCGCGGAAATACGACATTATCTACTTGAACATACTCAAGCACATCTTCCTCCATCTGTGTGCTGTTTATGGAATGTATCTAATGTTTACTGAGGCTCAATGGAAAACCGTGATATTTAGTAAGTGTCAAATATATATGATAGGCTTTAGTTTTTTTTTATAGGATTGGGTGACAAACGAGCACACAGTCCACCTGATGGTAAGTGGTTGCTGTGGCCCATAGACATCTACATCTATCCTCTATTACAAATCAAAACGCAGATGCGTTGTCACCCGTGAGAACTAAGATGGATTGCCTCTTTTCCAGATATGAATAACGTGGTAAAGCCACGCTGCAGCTATATTATAGTTGTAGCACGAATGGGTTGATTCGAACGGGGAAGGACCACGCTCTCATAGAATACCAGCGTAAAACAGCATTGTTTTGTATTTCGTATGATGAGTGTAGAGAACCAGAGACCCTTTCTACTGGATATGAGGCATTCCATCCTAGTCGTCAGGGGTGACAACGCATCTGCCTTCTGATTCTTAATCGAGAATAAATATAGATGTTTATGGGCCACAACATCCACTTACCATCAGGTGGACAGTGTGCTCGCTTGTCACCCTAATAATATAAAAAATATTGTCTGTCTGTCTGTTTGTGTCTGTCCGGGCTTATCTTCAGACTGGCTGAACCGATTATAATGAAACATCACGAACATATAAAGAGCAATGCCAGGTGTGATATTGGCCATATTTGATCCGAGAAAAAGTATGAGATTTTTTGAAAAAAAATTAAAAATATATGTAATAAATGCTCTTTGATTATCTTAAATCTTAATCATGCCACATTAATAGATCATACCCAGGCGAAGCCAGGGCGGGTTGCTAGTGTGTATATAATTATAATAGAACACCTATGTCTGCAAATCTAGATTTAAAACTCCTCATTTAGAAGTAGTTGTATTGAATCCATTACCATCATCATCAGTACAGTTTACAGCCTTCACAAGTCCACCGCTGGACACAGGCCATCCCCAAGGAATACAGTCCCGCTTCATTTGCGTTCATTGACTTCCTGCATGTCTTTAAATGGTCCGGTATATTCAAATTTGGAAATCTCGATTAATTAACGCCAGCTCAATATTTTGAATAATTAGATTTGAATTTTTTTAAGTATAACTTTGGTACAACTTCCTTGCCCTAAAACCCTCTCAGAAGTGATAGGAAGCCTGTGCCCAGCTGTGGGACGTATATAGGCCATAGCTTTATTATACTTTTAAAAATAAAATTGAATTGTCTGCCCGTAATATCGAAAGCACTGGCTTGTATTAAGGGGGATATTAGCACGCTACTAAAACATAAATAACCATTTTTGAGATTGTTGTATATCTGTCTGTCGGTCCGGGCGAAATTTTGGAATGGCTGAACCGACTCCAATGAAACTTCATAAATAGGTAGAGAGCAATGCCAACAGAGAACTAGGTTGAATTTAATACGAAAATCTTTTTTTTTTTTGCAAAAACAAACATTTTAAAAATAAATGGCCTTTCTTTCTAAAAACTAAACAATGTCACATTTACAGATCCTACTGAGTCCATAATGATACTTAAATTTTTTATAATAAGTAAAACCAACTTAAAAATGTTGTCGAAGGAATATGTCAAGTTCAACGTAGAAACTAGAATATCGTTTATTATTGTACTCATTCTATACTCTTCCACTTTTTTCTTTAAATGTATTCTCTAAGAATGAAACCACAAATCTCTCTTATATACATTCACATGTGCTGCTGCTTAGCCTATCCAGATCCAGATCCAGATCATCCAGAAAAAGGCAGTCCTACCACCTCGTGAAAATTACAAAAAGATCTTTCTAAATTGTCATGTAGATAAATATGGATATAAACTCTTACGTTTGTATTATTTATCTTATAAAACTAACGTGACAAAGGAACTTACTGTCCACCTGGCGATTGGCTATTGCAGTCTATGGACAGCCAACTTCAAGCAAATAAAGTTTCAGATGCGTTGTCATCTCTGAGGACTTAGATGGAATGGCTCACAGCATGTGTTTATACTGACTCTATACACCCTTCAAACTGGAACGTATTATAGATTAATATTATTATATTACAGATGTATTTTATTTCCACGCCGGAGCTTTGGGCATCACCATCGGGGCACACCGACTATGGACACACAAGGCATTCAAAGCGAAGTTGCCGCTCGAAATATTATTGATGCTTTTTAATTCTATCGCATTTCAAAGCACCGCATTTCAGTGGATACGGGATCACAGACTGCATCACAAGTTAGTAATAGGGTATTGTTTTCTGTACGTAGACATAGAAGATTAATTTTCCATATGCAATCTAAACCGGATGTACCGACCGCCTGAGACTTCTATATATACTACGTCGAAAAAGCAGAACGAAAACTGTGTGACACATATGACAGTTACTGTTTTAAGACAAATACGAAATAAAGTTACATACCTATCTGAAATAAACTTCAAATCACGTAGACAAAGTACGCACATAAATAGTCACAGTGTATTCTTAGTCACAATAAACAAATCAGTGTTAGATTTTCGAAAACAAGGTAGCGGTTTACAAAACGAAAAACTAGTTTTTTCGTCCTCTAGCATTCGAATAAATTAGTTTTTTTTTAAAGGAGAGGGGGCAAACGAACATGCGGCTCACCTGATGGTAAGTGACTACCGCCGCACATGAACAACCGCAACACCAGGGGAATTGCAGATGCGTTGCCGGCCTTTTAAAAAGGAGTAGGCTCTTTCCTTGAAGGCCCCTAAGTCGTATCGGTCCGGAAAAATCGCTGGCGGTAATCGATTCCACAAAGAAGTTGTGCGAGGAAAAAAACATCTTCTAAATCGCACAGCGCCAATCATCCAGGTGGTATGGATGGTATCGCAAGTTTTGTCGCGATGTGCGATGGTGAAATTGAGCGGCCGGAATTAGTCCGAACAATTCCTCAGAGTACTCCCCGTGGTGGTTACGAAGAATTGACCGTAAGTTATGCACTATGTTTTGAGGGCACAGAGCCCGCCTAGTGGTAAACATAGCAGTCTTTGCCGACATCGCTTATAACAACGGATCAGTTATTTCGACGAATAAATACTAAAAATAAACATAACATGCTCACACAGTGAAACTCAATTGTTTTTAATTCTAGAGGAATTGAATAAAACGATCTTTCATCTCTAGATACAGCGACACTGACGCGGACCCGTACAACGCTTCAAGAGGCTTCTTCTTCTCGCACATCGGATGGTTGCTCGTGAGGAAGCACCCGAAAGTGATAGAAAAAGGGAAGACTATTGATATGAGCGACATTAATAACAATCCAGTGTTGAAATTTCAGAGCAAGTAAGTACAATCAATCTATTTTTACTGGTAACAAGGCATTCGGTCTTAGTCCTCAGGGATGAAAACGCATCTACATTTTGATTCTTAACCCAGAATCGATGTCTATGTGTCATAGCATCCACTTAACACCAAGATGATTGTGTGCTCGTTTGTCACTCTGTTTCTATAAAAATAATAATGAACTACATACACATAATGATTTTAGTTATTTCATGATATAAAATTACAAATAAACAATGTCATATTGCAATATAATAATGTATGATACAAATGGTTGTAGTTTTAGTTTTTGTTAAAAAATTGAATTGACAATTTAACACGTAGTAGAGCCATGCTGCAGCTAAATTAGTAGTACGAGTATAGTTGTAGCACGAATGCATCGTTTCGACCGGGAAAGGACCTTGCTCTCACAGAATACCAGCGTTAAATAGCAGCTTAATGTTTCGTATGTTGAGTGCAGAAAACCGAAGACTTCTTTTAATGGAACGAGACATTCCATCTTAGTCCTCAGGGATGACAACGCATCTGCACTATGATTCTTAATCGAAGCTAGATGTTGATGTCTATGGGTTACAAAAACAACATGCAATTTACTATCTAAGGCTACATCACTACTTACCACCAGGTGGGATTGTGGTCAAGCACTAATTTCTAATAAGTAAAAAAACATAATAAAATCATTTAAATTTTCAGATATGCCATTCCCGTCATAGGAATGTGCTGTTACATCATTCCAACGCTGACCCCAGTCTATTTATGGAACGAATCTTTCACAAACGCCTTCTACATTAACATATTACGCCATATTGTCGGACTTCACATAGCGTTCAGTGTCAACAGCTTCACCCACTTATGGGGGAAGAAGCCATATGATAAAAACATCAAATCAACCCAATCGATCATTGTTTCCCTGCTATCTGGTGGCGAAGGCTACCATAACTATCACCACGTGTTCCCATGGGACTACAGGACGGCAGAGATCGGGAACAACTGGATTAATACGTCTACGTTGGTCATAGATTTATTGGCTAAAATTGGTCTAGCCTACGATTTGAAAACTACTCCAGAATCTATGGTGCTGGAAAGGCTAAAGCGAACTGGGGATGGTAGCAATTTGTGGGGGGTAGTTGGAAAATTTTAAGCGTCCGTTTGGATACAGAACTTAATTCATTATTTATATCCATTTACATTAATTGATAAGTTTTTAAGTGATGGTACATAATGGTTGATGCGCGATTCATATTTTTAAGAAACGCTTCGTTATTCGTTAAAATGCAAATGGATTTAGGACTTAACATAGTCACAGTGCGCAGACTTCCAGGTGCGTCAATGTATTAGGATATACTTTTATAACGCTCGTAGTAGGGTTTTAATATCAGCGCTAAGCATTAGAAAGGGGTGGAATTTAAAATAAATTAAAATTGAAAATAAATAAGATTAAAACAGTTATAGTGCACTATATAGTAATATTAAGTAAACAATCTTCTTTTGAGAAATAAAGTTAATATATATATATATATATATATATATATATATATATATATATATATATATATATATATATATATATATATCAATTGGGAAGTAACTTCAGTGAACCTTTTTATTAAGTACTGTACTACTAAATGGAATGTTTCATGATCTTCGGGGGTGAAATCCGCATCCGCATTTTGATTGAGGTTATCGAGATTAGATTTAGATGTCTATGAACCTCAGCATTCATGTGCGCAGTCGACCAGCATGCAGTGGCGTGTTCCAAATACCTCACAAAATGTTTATATAACCTGCAAATATAGGCCTGGTTGTTCCCCATGTGCAAATTATGTATGTAAAATGCCTCCATCTACAATGTAAAAGAAAAGGTTACAGGTGTTTAAAAATCAATGTTGGTGTTTAAACTTCAGTTTCGGTATTGCTATTCGTAATAACGTAATAAATAAAAGTTTTGCCTCTTTTTACTACAGGATTTTCTCCTATATCGCTAGGATTTTCTTTTATATCGTGAATGCAGTTTACATACATAAATTGAACAAGGACAAACGCACACACCCAAAACAATTATTTGTAGACCATATAAATACCTGTCCCGTGCGGGATTCAAACCCGTGGCCCTCAGCGCTGTAACTCATTGATAAGCCACTGCGCCACGAAGTCGTCATTCTTCAACCTCTCCTAACTCAGCTGCAGGATAAAGCTCTCGGATGGATTTTTTAATTTTAATATCTGAAGTACAAACTCGTAGCGAAGTTGCGTTCTCAGCAACAAAACTTGTGACAGCAAAAGCTTTGCATATTAAGTTGAATAAAGCCCCACATTGAAAACTGCAGCGTAACCTCTCGATAAGAAGGCGTTGCAAGGCTCTTAAGGTTTTTAATTGTAAAGAATGTATCGAAGTGAGGGTAGAACTCGAAACTCCTACTTGTTCAAGCTTAAATCAATCATTCTAATTTTCAAACGAGTCAAGTAATTAGTGCAGTTTTTTGCGGGAACATGACCGGCGGCGGTATGCTACTCCTGTATTATTGTTTAAATAATGGTTTGAAGTGGATTTTGATATGTGAAAGTGGTGCAATTTTGTATATTAAGTGTCTACGCATGTGAACTATTAGTGGAAACGATGAAACAAGTGCTCTAATGGTGATGTGATTCTCAATATAAGGTTGTTTACTTAGGCACCTTGAGATACCATTGCCAACTGTCTGCTGGCTCAAGTTGCCGCCAAAATCTCCCGAGGACTTCACAATGTGTCGCATCAACATATTGTGAAGCAGTGTAATATGAAGGCTAATTATACAATTGTACTACGAAGGATAATTATATATTGAAAAATGGAAAACATGTATCCATTTTCTACGTTGTATTAGCTCAAAGTTGCTCAGCGAGCTATGGAGGTATACTCGGATTTTCTTTGCGAGATAAACTTAGAAATGAGGATATGCGTAGTAGAACCAGATTGATCGATATAGCCCAACGGATTATGGTAAGGTAAAGTGGCAATGGGCCGGCCATATCGCTCGAAGAACCGACAACCGAAGGGGGAAAAAGGTTCTCGAGTGACAGCCTCGTATCCGTAGGCGAAGTGTAGGGCGACCCTCCATTAGATGGAATGAGTACCTGGTAAGACATGTAGGAAGTCGAAGGATGAACGTGGCTCAGAATCATGCTGTGATCATTGTGATCATGTATTCCTTCATCATCATCATCATCATCATTACAGCCCTTCACAAGTCCACTGCTGAACATAGGCCTCCCCCAAAGAATGCCACAAAGCACGGTCCTGAGCCACCTGCATCAATCGACTTCCTGCATGTCGTACCAGGTCGTCACTCCATCTCGTGGGGGGACGCCCTACACTTCGCCTACCGGTACGAGGCTGCCACTCGAGAACCTTTCTTCCCCATCGGTTGTCGGTTCTTCGAGCTATATGGCCGGCCCTTGCCACTTCAGCTTACTAATCCGTTGGGCTATGTCGGTTACTCTGGTTCTACTGCGGATATCCTGATTCCTAAGTTTATCACGCAGAGAAACTCCGAGCATAGCCCTCTCCATAGCTCGCTGAGCGACCTTGAGCTTCCTCATCCGGCCAGCAGTGAAGGACCACGTCTCAGTTCCGTATGTCATCACTGGCAACACGCACTGGGTGTACAGTCTCGTTTTCAAGGTTTGAGGTATACCTGACGATCTTCTCGTCAGTAAGTCAGTGTGGCGTAATTGGGTGTATTCCTTGGGGGAGGCCTATATTCCGCAGTGTACTTGTGATGATGATCATGATGAACATTGGTTTTGTTTCTAAACTTTTTGTAAAGTTAAATAATACTATATTAAAATTTACACAAAAATAAATAAATAAGTAAATGCTTCGAAGAGGCAAACATTCCGGTACTCGTAAAGTTAATTTCAATATACAGTCGTTGCGATCATATAATATATTTCGTATTACCTCTGCCATATACTATTATATTAAATTTTCATCGTTCGGATTCGGAGAACGACGTTGGAAAACGTTATCAATTCCGTTGGTCGGAAAACTGAAAGGCCTTATGCAGAACGGTGACATGATATGCTTTGCGTGCTGTCAGGCATGCATGATCGTTTAGTAGTATAAATTGATGCGAATGACATTCAAGCTATGTGCTGGCGGATGATTGACAATTTATTTAAATTTTCATCATTAAATTTACAACTCTTATGACGACCGTGAGTGGGCAACAAAAAGGAAAACATAAGTGGAATAAAACAAGATAATTTTTTTAAACTAAATTTTGTTTTTATTGCCCGTCAAGACAATATGAATAATAATGTGCCTACGAATATATAAATCTACCTGTGAAATTGTTACATAAAATTTTGAGGGACAATAATTCCACAACAGCTATACGTGGTGGACCATGCTGCAGCATGCAGTATAGTTGTAGCACCAATGGGTCAGCTCGACAGGGGAAGGACCACGCTCTCATAGAATACCAGTGTAAAATAGCAGATTAACGCTACTGTGTTTCGTATGGTGAGTGTAGAGAACCGGAGACACTTTTTACTGGAAACGAATCCATCTTAGTCCTCACGGGTGACAACGCTTCTGCATTTTGATTCGTAATCGAGGTTAGATGTAAATGTCTATGGGCCACAGCAACCACTTACTATTAGGTGGACTGTGTGCTCGTTTGTGTGCATGGCAACACATTCAGCAACCGTGTTGGCAACCGAAGTTTTTTTTTATTTTAAGTCGTTACTAGGAAATCGCTACTATCAATGTCAATAAGTAATATTTTTATTCTATGTTGAATGAGAAAGTTTCTATTTCTATTTCAAGCCCGTAAGTGTTCACAGCTGGACATTGGACATCTCCCGTTGAGGCAGAACATGTCTTAGACGTCACGCTTTGCAGGTGGACAGACGACCGCAGCAGCAGACGTGAGCACTTGTGACGCTGCTTCCCGTCGCCGGTCTGGGTGTTTTATGTTCAGCGTAAACTAGATGGTTATACGGTACATGAAATATTTCAGGCATAGTGACCTCTTACGAAACACATGAAACGAAATGGATCGACGTACTGTCTACGCCGCCTCACATCAAAGTAATATTCCGTAACATACATAACAGCCTATAAAAGTTCGCTGCTGAACATAGGCCACTCCCGTAAATTGCCTCATAGGTAGGATTTTTGCACGTGGTAGATCCATGCTGCGGCTATATTAATAATATAGTTGTAGCACGAATGGGTCGCCTCGACCGGGGAGGACCACGCTCTCAAAGTATACCAGCGTAAAATAACAGCTTAAATCTGCTGTGTTTCGTATAGTGAGTGTAGAGAACCGGAGATCCTTTATACTGGATAAGAGGCATTCTATCTCAGTTCTCACGGGTGATAACGCATCTGCATTTTGATTCTTTATTAAGGATAGATGTAGATGTCTGTGGGTCACATCAACCACTTACAATCAGGTGGACTGTGGGCTCGTTCGTCATCCTATCCTATAAAAAAAGGATTTTGCCATAGTTGCCATGCTTGACAAGCAGGTTGGCAACCGCAGTTTTTTAATATTTTTTTGTTATTATCAGGAAGATGTAATATTCATAAAATTATATTTGAACGCTTGAAGGGATGTTTGAATGCTAAGAATCAATTACTTCAAACATTTAATTTAATTTTTTAAATTTTTTAAGTTATAATTAGACAGACAATTTCCTACATTAATACACTGGATACTTTTTATTACGGGAAAATAACAGCAAACGTCGAATAATCAACATAAATGCGTTTCTGCTATATGTAAGCCGCGAGCAGAAGCTAGTTTTAAATACGGATACGAGGATAGAAAAAATCCCTAGTTCAAAAAGTTTTATCTGTAAAACTTCTCTCTTTTGTTTAGTGGATTTATTTCAATGGTAACGGATTATGATCTTACATTACACCGCATGATCCAACGATAACCTTACAATAGTTATTACTGTTATATTAAATTGCGAGTATTTAACGATATATTTAACGCATATACGAATTAATGCTATTTAATGTACCCGTTTTATGTAACTGTTTCGTTTTTAAATTATTATAATGTTGAGCTACCATAACATTTATAAAAACTTATCTCAACCCTAATTATTGTTTAAAATAGGTCACATAATCAATTTTTCGGGATG